ATTTACTTGGAAAAGATGACACAAAAAGAAGAAAGTAGAAATTTCTGTATTATGGATTTAGATGGAACGTATGGAATAATTTTCCTGCCCCAAAGAAGTAGGGTGTTGTGTATTATGGAGGTATACTACATTTTAAGAGAATTACCGTGTTTGTTATTGTGTAAATTATGCATTTACTTACTGTAATATAGTTACAATTCATACTAAATGTGTAAGAACATATTTATTGTGATGGAAATGAAGCCAAATGGATAATATATCAATGTCTTTTATGTATCTCTCAAGAAGCGTAGCATTGACAGTGTCAGGCAGCTAGATTGTACTCATTGAATATGTTAGATTTTCCGTAGCTTGGAAGATAAGTATTTATGGTGAGATGGAAAGTGTATAGAAAAGGTACTGAGTTGTTAGGTGCTGTTGCCGTGAGTTGGGAGAAGCATGAGAGTCAATAGCACTCTAAATTTTCTTCTTTAATGTGCACCTTTGTATTTATCCATTACTGTCTCCTAAAGAGAATCTTCACAGTGAAAACTTCACAGAGCTCAGCACTCCCGACCGCTTCTGTTTGTGTGTTAGGACTTTTAAATCTGTTATTTAAAATACTTTTATGTTTAGGTTATTGACAACCTATCGACAATTCTTATAAGAAAACAGACATCTCATCTGCTCCTGTTAGGAAGGGATCTGTTTCTTTTCCTGAGTCTGTCTTCAATGTATTTACCTTGATCTAGTATCTCGTTCTCTCTTTTGAGACCCAGTTTTGGAAATTTGGCTCAGGACTGCATCATGCCATCCAAAGCACAATAGGACGATGCATAAGCCAGAATAGCTAAATGTTCATTTATTTAAAATTGTAAATGCAACTCTGTAATGTACAGACTTGCTGATCAACACATTCTTTGTAGAAATATCTACTCTAGAAGATAATTTATTACCTAACGGTTAAGTAGAAACATGAAATCAGAGCAAGAGGGGCTGATCAGGGTTATTGATTACTAGTCCCCTGAGCCGTCCATCTGGATGTGGACATCGCATCGCCAGGTGACTAGAATCCTCATCCCAGCTGGTGAGGCTTCGCTTTCCCTGAAGCTCGTTACAAATGCACAGACCGTTGCTGCCTCTCTGGCCTTTGTCTGTGCTTTGTATTGATCATCTCCTTCCTTTTTCCTGCAGTCTTTCTCTACACAGGTGGCCCACTCAACTGACTACATTTGGGTCATTGTCACACCTCCTGCCACCCTGAGATTGTATCAAAGCACCTTGAGTGGACTTTGGGAGGCTCCCAAATGTCTCAAGTCACATATTTCCCGATATTATCTTGTTTATCAAGGCTATTGTAAAATTCACAAACTGAGTATCTTACCACTAGTTGATGCTGTCATTTGTGAAAATACAAACTGAGTTAGCACTCTGTCAATAATTTGTTTCTATTGTCTGCTTTTAAAGTATTTGCTAATTCTTATTTTCGATGTCAACCACTGCTTTTTGGTTTAGCAAATTCTTGTATTTTGGTTTTCAGGTATAATGTGTGTTACACTTATTAAGGATTGAATTCAAGCAAGATGAGTCTATTTCCTCTTCATTTTCATTCTAGGCTATGACCTTTCTTATTCTCTTTTTCAGGTTTGTTCAGTTTTATTGAGATATAATTGACATACAGCACTGTAGAAGTTCAAGGTGTACGGCGTAATGATTCGACTTACAAACATTGTGGGATGATCACAGTAAGTCCGATTAATGCCCATCATCTGTAGAGATAGAAATAAAGTGTTTTCTTTCCTTGCAATTAAAAGTGTGAGGATTTACTCACTAACTGCTTTCAGATATATCACACAGCGGTGGTGACTGTCATCGTTGTGTTGTGCCTTACATCTCTTGTGCTTATTTCCCTCATGATTGGAAGCCTGTACCTTTTTAGCATCTTCCTCAGATTCCTCTCCACCACCTCCCCTCCTCTGGTAACCACAAATCTCGTCTTTATCGATGAATTTGTTTTTATTAATTTTTTTTAATCGCACATGTTAGTGAGATCATAGAGTACTTGTCTTTCTCTGAGTTATTTTACTTAGTAAAGTGCCCTAATGCCCCCAAGGTCTGCTCCTATTGTCATAAAAGGCAGGATTTCCTTGTTTTTATGGCTGAGTATTCCCTTATATATGTGATTGTGTGTGTGTGTGTGTGTGTTTCTATGTGTGTGTGTATGTATATAACACAACACTTTCATCCACATGTGCGCTGATGGACACTTAGGGTGTTTTCATGACTTGGCTATCATGAATAATGCTGCAATGAACATGGAGGTGCAGATCCGTTAGACATATGATTTTTTTCTTCTGATATATTCCCAGAAATGAAATCGTTGGATAATATGATAGTTCTGTATTTCTCTGAGGAACTCCCATACTGTTTCTACAGTGGCTGCACCAATTTAGCGTCCTACCAACAGTGCAGATGGATTCCTTTTTCTCATGTCCTCACCAGCATATGTGTATCTCTTGTCATTTGATGATACCCATTCTAACATTTGTGATGTGACATCTCATTGTGGTTTTGGTTTGTGTTTCCCTGATGGTTAGATTTGTTGAGCACCTTTTCAGGTACCTGTTGGCCATATGTATGTCTTCTCTGGGAAATGTCTATTTAGGTTCTTTGTTCAATTTTTAAAATTAATTTATTGTTATTATTATTATTGCTATTGTGTTATAATGTTTTTCATATATTTTAGATATTAACCCCTTATAAGATACTTGGTTTGCACATGTTTTTTCCCATTCCTTAGTTGTCTTCAATTTTGTCGATCATTTCTATAGCTGGGAAGATTATTTCTTTTGCTGGGCAGAAGCTCTTTAGTGTGATGTAGTTACATTTTTCGATTTCTGGTTTAGTTGCTTGTGCTTTAGGTGCCATATCCAAAAATTCATTGCCAAGCCTCAGTTCAATGATCTGTTTTCCTTTGTTTTCTTCTAGGAGTTATATGTTTTGGGGTCTTCTATTTAAGTTTTTACTCCTTTCAAGGTAGGTTTTATCAGAGAAAACAGGGGACCAGTTTCATTCTTTTATATGAGAATATTCAGTTTTCCCAGCACCATTTATTAAAGAGAGCCTTTCTTCCACTGAGTATTCTTGGCTCTCTTGTATAATACTAGTAGACTGTATATGTTTAAGTTTGTTTCCGGGCACTGGATTCTGTTCCATTGGTCTCTGTGTCTGTTTTTATGCAATACTTATTGTTTTGATTACTATGGCTTTACAGGAAATGTGATGCCTCCCGCTCTCTTCTTCTTTCTCTGGATTGCTATGGCTCTGGAACCTTGGTGGGGATTGCATTGACTGTATAGATGGCGTTGAGTTTTTGTATATGTTCAAATATTAATTCTTCCAACCCATGAATATGGGACTTAGATATTATGGTAATCAGTCATGATTACCACTGAAGTAAGTAAAATTCTTTTCTTTTCATGAATCCTTCCATTTTAAACTATCTTCTTACTTATTATTTCTACTATCCAGTAATTCTTTTATACTTTTGCACATATGTAGGTGTGAGAGAGTCCATATTGCATGATATTTTTCTTTGTAATCTTGTATAATAAGTCTTAATTCCATGTCAGTGGCAATGACTCTAGGTAGGTAATCATTGGTGACATAATCTCCTTCTGCAAACCTGAATGTCAGATTGAGAATTTAGCTCAATGGACAGAGACTTAATTTATATTGGCTTAAATAAGTAAGTCTGTCTTTCTATTTTTTTCTTTCTTTATGGACTTTCTTTCATTAATTTCTCTCACTCACCCTTCTAATTCTTCCTCCCTCCCTCCCTCCCTCCCTCCCTCCCTTCCTTCCTTCCTTCCTTTTCTTCTTTCCTTTCTTTTGTTCTACTTTTTCTCTCTCTCTTTCCTTTTTTTCTTCCTTCTTTCCTTCCTTCCTTCCTTCCTCTTTCTCTCTTTCTCTTTCTTTCTTTCTTTCTTTCTTTCTTTCTTTCTTTCTCTCTCTCTCTCTCTCTCTCTCTCTCTCTCTCTCTCTCTCTCTCTCTCCTTCCGTCCGTCCTTCCTTCCGTCCTTCCTTCCTTCCTTCCTTCCTTCCTTCCTTCCTTCCTTTCTCTCTCTCTCACTCTCACTTTCTCTTTCTCTCTTCATTTCTTATTTTCTAATTCAATGAGTTCTTAAAGGTGTTTTCCAGTAATTTTTCACACCAAAAATTTATGAAACAATAAATAATATAGTTGTCACAAAGCTATTTGATTCTCTTTTCAATAGTGAAATGGAGGAAAATCAGACCGTGGTTACAGAATTCATCCTCCTGGGATTTTGTCTTGG